TACTTTTTCTTAGAAGATATATGTGCTGATGTGTCAAAAACTTACTTTCAAATGGTTCTGGAAAAAAAATATACATAGAAAAAATTATGGCTAAATGTTACTACTGTTGAATCAAGGTGGTAGCAAGAATTAGTATACAGTTGAATACGCTAAATTCTTTCAACTCCTCTGTAAGTTTTAAAATTTTTCATTATAAAAGCTGAGAAAAAACAATGATATAAAAAACTCCAATGGCAACCTGCTGGAGCTAGGACCTTATACTATTCAGGCAAGTAGAAAACTTCACAGTTTTTGTTTGTCCAACTGGAAGAAAAAAAGCAGTGAAGTTTTTGTAACACTGGGTAGATCTTTCAGAGCATTTAGCTCATCCAAGGAGTCTCCTAAGGACTAAAATCTCAGTGGCATACATGCCTACAGAGCCACCCCAGGAACTCAGGAAGGGAACCCCACTCCTCTGTCCCCCCCACTTTACCTGGTGTCCTGGGCTCCTCATATGTCCCCCCAGTTTACCCCAGTGCAGATTCACCGCTCCTCAGCTTCCCCCCGAGTCTGAGGAATATGTGCTTAGCTTAGATGGGGAGGCTGCCTGTCCTGTTATTTACAGTTGGTGTCTGCTAAGACGCAGCCTATTAAGGCAGAGTTTTCATATTCCTAATAAAACAGGCAACTCCTCTGAGCTGCTTCCTCTCAGGGAGCCTCAGAAAAGGGGCTGGCTGCGGGGAGTTAAGTTTTCCACAGTTGTTAGCAGTCAACCTGACTAGGTGTTCCTAAGGTCTCCAGTTCTGTGCTCAGGGCTGACGGGAGTGGTTCCAGAATATAGTTGGCGGTTGTACCCATGCCAGTCTCTCTTGTGACTTACCTGGCCTCTTGAGCCACCTGCCACTGTGTGTGACAGAGAAGGTGAACTAACAGAGGATTTCTGGGACAAGCCACTGCCTTGTTTCCATCTGGCAAGTGGAACCCTGCTCATCCTTCAAGGACTAGCTGAAAGGTAACCCTTCCTGGATACCCCCCCTTTGCCCTTTCCTTGCCAGCAGGATGCAGTATTCCCACCACTGGGATTCTGTTCCCCTACCCCAGCATTGATCACATTGCATGATTTTCATGATGTCTTCCCTACGTTGTCCTACATGTCAACAGCACCTAGCATGCAGCCCAGCACATCAAAGCTACATGTTGGTTGAATGCATACATGAACAACAAAATGGTTTCCACAGTTTGACAAACCGACTCAGCACGTGCCCTGGGTCTTCCCAGGAAACCTCACCTTGTGTTTGTATACCTTCCACCGGGCCTGCAGGATCCTGGCAGCAGCGTCTCTTCTCCCATCAGAGCAGGGGGAAGGGGACTGAGAGAACCTCTCCTCACTTAAATCTGGTTCAGAGTCTTGCTGAGAGTGCCTGCTGCTGGCAGAGGAAGCTGGGAGTTCTTGGGTCTGTGGACATTGAAGGTGTAAAAGGATGATAAAGCTGGGCAGGGAAGATCAGTATCAGGTGAAGGGACAGGATATTACTCTGCATGATGGCAAGCCATGCTTATCAGATGAGACATTAATTTAGAGGAAAAATCTGTCCCTACATCATTCACCATGCCATATGACAAACATCTCTAGAGAAACAATGTATATGCTAGCTAGTAAATGGATTTAGACTTGTTTTTCATTAAACTCCCTAAACTCTGTCTGGTAGCAATCTCCTGGGAAGAAGACAGGACGATATCACCTGTGGAATCTAAAAGACAGCTTATTCATGGTAATACACTTTCTAATCTCAGTCGCATTCCATTATTGCAAAAATTATCTGTTTTTCTGGGGTCCTTTCTTTGATCCTTTCATTTAAGTTTGATACTGTATCACAAAAATGGGATTTCTGGGATTAAAAGCAATATATTTCTAGCTTGATTTTTTAAGATTGAAAGATGCAAGAATCGCTATTTTGACCACTGAAATAACACTAATTTCCACCACTTATGGGTCCAAATTTATTATCCAAAAGGACACTTCTCAATAAAAATAAAAATATTGGATTGTTGTTCTCACATCAAAAATGCAAGCTCAGTGGAGACGCACGTTTTTGCAGAAGGCCCTCACCATGAGAGAGACACGAAACTGCTAGAGTCCACACCCGGATAAAATGCCTGGTGCAGATGGCCTGCCAAATGACTTGGACAAAACGCACTCAGGATGGATTAGTGTACTAACCAAGTTTTTTATTTTCTGTATTTTATGATGCTTTAACATCTTGGGGCCATGGTGACCCTGGAGACTACTCCTCCCAGGGCCCAATGATTCTGAGAGAGTAAATGACTTGCTTTCAAGCACGACTTTCATATGCAGCCAACCAATCAATTACCCACACTCCAACCACCTCCTTTCTCTAACTCTCACACACCGTGCCAGTATGCTTCCTGCCCTAAATCAGCCAGGGTCAGACACTAGACAACTAGGGACCACCCCTACAGCCCAGAGCCCACCAGAGTTATTCAAACCAGCCAATCCCAAGCCTGCTCAGCTGCTCACCTGCCTCACTGGTTCCTTCTCACAATAAAGGCTCTGGGCCATGCTTGCCCTCCATTCCCCTGCCTCCTGACTGAGCCGGTGCTGCCCTGTGTGGCCCTGTGTGGCAGCCCTGCCTCCTGTTTGGAAGGACCTGTGAGTACAAACTTCTTCTTTCATGCCAGTCATTTCTTTGTGTTTCCTACCATCCCAGATTAAAACAAATCCAGGCACATTTTATTTTATTTATTTATTTATTTATTTTTTGTCTTTTGTCTTTTTTTCCGTGTCCGGCAATGGATCGCAACCCTCAGTGTTGCCGCCGTACCGGNTGTGGCCCTGTGTGGCAGCCCTGCCTCCTGTTTGGAAGGACCTGTGAGTACAAACTTCTTCCTTCATGCCAGTCATTTCTTTGTGTTTCCTACCATCCCAGATTAAAACAAATCCAGGCACATTTTAACACAGTCAGCTGTTATCAGATCTCTTTAGGTGTGCTCACCAAGTTACTTTGTGCCAACATCCCCGACACTTAGCTTCAATATTGTTATTTTGTTACCCTAAGAAGAGCCTCATCTCCTTCCCTTAATTCTAACACATTTTCAGACCTTCGTTCCATTAAAGTGAGATAAGAATCTGTCAACGTGTGGACTGTGCCAATGTGAACAAAAATTAAAACCGGTTACTCAGAAGATAAAGAACATTTAATTAAGTCTGGGCAGATAGCTAAAAAAATCTAAATTTTGTATGCATATAAATTCCTTGAGGCAACCATTAAAAAACTGACTCCCATCTCTCCATTTAAACCTATAATTAATCATTCACATACAAATGCTGAAAGAGATTCCCCTAT